CCCGGGAAAAAATGGAAGAGATCTGAACAGATTTGAGCAGATCTCATCAGATCCAATCCACTCAGATCTGATTTGATCAAAATATTGGCCCTATCTGATCAGATCCAATCAGACATGAGTAGATCTGATCCGATCCTAGAGGATAGAGTCAGATATGTAACGAGAATAATAATTTATTATATCTGCTCAGATCCAATCAGACATGAGTAGATCTGATCCGATTCGGTGTCCATCCACTGCAGAAAATTGTTGTTTTTAAATGTTATTTTTTAAATGTGTCACTTTATTATAAGTAGACTCCACGATACAAAAGTTGTGCCGTTCCACGATTTACATAACTTGGCGCAACTTAGCACGACACTGGCGTGTCTGATACCGTTCTTATACCACTGTTCATCAAATTTTAAACACGAGAATCATATTCCGTCGGATGCCATCTATCGGATACTTTGAGATGCAACATTATGATCTGATCATATATAATTTTATATGACTATATAAGTTTATATGTGATTATATTATTTTATCAGTTTAAATTATAAGGTATGTTTGCAAAATAATTTAAAAGATTTATGTTTTATATATACATATACACATTAATCTTTTATATTTACCTATTATTAATTAATTTTGCACGAAACTTTTTTAATGGAATATTTATAATAAATTCTAAATATGGTGTCAAAATTAACAATTATTATTAAATTGGCAGGACTATATTTATTATATATATGTTAATGTTTCAAAATTAAGAAAACTGTTTTTAATATAAAAATTAATTGATTTTTTGACCAAAAATTATTTAAAAGCTTCCCCTTTTCAGAGTTAATATTATATTTGATATAATGTCCAACATTGGGTGTAAAAATTAATAATGGACGATTTGAGAACAAAATTTTTATAAGTTCTATACTGGCGAGATCTGCTCAGATCCGGCAAGATCGGAAGAGATCTGATTGGATCAGCAACACAACTTTGTAAGCCAAGATTGGACTTATCTGGTGAGATCAAGATATGTCTGACTAGGTCTGCTCAGATCCGGCAAGATCGGAAGAGATCTGATTGAATCAGCAACACAACTTTGTAAGCCAAGATTGGTCTTATCTGGTGAGATCAAGATATGTCTGACTAGGTCTGCTCAGATCCAGCAAGATCGGAAGAGATCTGATTGGATCAGCAACACAACTTTGTAAGCCAAGATTGGTCTTATCTGGTGAGATCAAGACATGTCTGGCTAGGTCTGCTCAGATCCAACAAGATCTGAGGCATAATGTCTGTTCGTACTTCAGGAGATCTGAAGCAATCAGATAATGTCCGATTAGATCAGAAGAGATTCGATTGGATCTGCGATTCAATATTGAACGGCAGCAATGGTCAGATCTGGTGAGATCGGATTATAGTTCAGCATATCTGGCTGCATGTGATTAAATATGGCCATGCAGATCTAGCGAGATAAAATTGTATCCAATCAGATCTGACTTTACTTGAATTTCAGATCTCGTTGTATCTCATTTTATCAAATCAGACATGGTCAGATCTCTTCCATTTTTTCCTGGGTAAGTTTATTCTGTATAATATCGGTAACATCCGCAGCATTTATAGATATTTATAAGCATAACAGTATTTAAAAATTACATAAAAATAGTTATTCAGATTGTTTGATACACATATTCTTCTAAGTTTTATAATTTTATATCTGACATATCGTACTTTTACTATGTATTTTTATGGCTTCTATGCACATTATAAAAGTCTTTGCGCATTTATTATCTTATGTTGTGAAAGAGATAATTTATACTAGGCAAGAAATAAATTGTCTTCTTATTTGATAAGATCACGATTTTATCGCAAATTTTAGGAATATAGAAAGAAAAATTAAGGAAATTGTTGCAAATTGTACGTTTCACAACACATTTCATAACGAGAGAGAATATATATGCTTAATGATAATGGCCTTGTATTACAGTTCATACTTAACGTAATCGTTCTTCTGTTTTAAAAAAATTTATTAAGGATTTCTATTTAGATTTAGGCTAAATATGTATTAAAGTTAAGAAAGAAACATTTATAGTGATTTTTTTTAAAAGTCAAGTACTATATAATTTTAATGAAATATTATATCTGATATTAAAATTTAAATTTATGAGTTACGTATTTTAAACATTTGATGTCATTCCTAATGATAGTAAAAAAAAAATACCAAATAATATCAATTGTGAGTAATTTCTCCGTTATATTTTGCACGCGAAAGTTGTTTAAATTAATTAATAGAAAAAGATAATACAATAAGAAATTGGGATTTTTATTTAAACTAGACACTACAGACGCGCGCTTCGCGCGCGCTATTTAGCTTTAACATTATGCTGTTACTATTACACTATTAACCCTTGATACACACAACTGTCAAAATATACAATGACAGCTGCAAATGAAGTAAGCGCAGCAAGAGAACCAATCGGCATCGCGGAAAAGTGACAACAATACCTACGACATGCCCTTTTTAGAAGAGGAAAATCGAAAGTGACCTTTACATGATTTTTACGCCTACATTCAAGATCAAACGAATAATACTATGTTATGTTGCCCTCACAACCCTTCAACTTTTATCTAAGACATTTTTTAGTGTAATGCATACTTTTAGAAATAACAGCTTATAACACTTTAATCCACCTTGTATAATATATATCTTAAAAATAAATTTTCACATTTAGACTTTGCGTCGCAATATCTCCGCTCGTAGGGCACGTAGCGGAATATTATAAGAGAAACTCCCCCCCCCCCTAATTGGACCCCAAGCTATTGATCAAGCCTACTTAGAACTTGATCCGTTCACTCGTTATCGAGATCTCAACATCTCGGGTACTCGCAACCCATCGCGTCGCGTAAAAGAGTCACGGTCGGTCTCGCTCCGCGTGCGTACTTGACACGAGACACTACCGTGTCTCTTGATAAAAGAAATTATTTTATTTAAATTATTTTTTGTCTAAAAGGAGAAATAAAAATTTTGATTTCTTTTTTTTAGAAATAAATATCGTTAAGGGTTTTTTTAGTAAGAGGACATGTGACTTATACATATATTAGAAATATACTCTTATGCCTAATTTCACAAAATCATGTTATAGTCATCAACACCAGCGGCAACATGCGGACAGGTATCTAGTGTTGGCCTTAATGAAAACGACAAGCAGGCTATAGTAAAAAAACACAATGAACTGAGACAAAGAGTTGCGTCGGGTCAGGAAAAGAAAGGGAACCCAGGTCGGCAACCTCCGGCGGTTAGCATGCCAGATTTGGTAAGATATAATAAATAATATATTATTACAGTAAATTAAAAAATATAATAATCGGAAAGAAATTAGAGAACGAAGTAAAATTGTGTTTTAACCGCGGTTTGGCTTAAAGATTCAATTGTTTCTTTTATATTATTTTTTTTTTAATAAACTAAAAATTAGCGTAATAACAGTTTATATTAACGAACATTTATTGAATTGATTTTAATTCCACAAAGCGGTTGAATAGCAATATTGTGTTTGTCTATATGTATACTTAAAGCAATTGCATAAAAATATTGTAGAGTTTCTTCCGATGGTTTATAATTATAATAAACGAAAAAATTCAAAGATAGTATACTAAATAGTATAATTTTATATGCTGTATAATACGAAGAAGAAGACATATTTGAATTAAATATTTATTTCAAATTAGAATTTATATAATATAACGAAATATAAAATTACATACATATATATATATGTGCAGATACTACACACGCACACGCATACGCGCAAGTACGCACGCACGCACGCACGCACGCACATACACACACATACACACACACACACACCACACACACACGCGCGCGCGCGCACAGTCTTATATGTATGTATATATACGCACACACATTTTCTTAGACCTGGGATAACGAATTGGAAAAAATTGCGCAAAGATGGGCCAATCAATGCAATTTCAATCATGACAAGTGCAGAAATGTGGGTAAGTATCGACTTACATATTAATTTTACAATTGTAAATTAAATATATGTATTCTTTAATTTATTTATTAGCATGTAACACCTGTTATTACAGATAGATTTGCAGTTGGTCAAAACATAGCCCAAAAATCCTCTACAGGAGGAAACAATTTCCCTGTAGAAAGCTTTGTCGAAATGTGGTACGATGAAGTTGATAAGTTCGATAAAAATAAAGTTTCCAAATATGAGTAAGTATTTCTGTAATATTCTAATCATATATACAGGGTGTCCCAAAATTGGACCGACAAATTTGGTGTAGTTATAAGGGATACATCATAAACAACAAGCATATATTTATTGTCAATTATTCTACGTCCGCAAATAAACCATTTTGACACTAGAGTGAATCAAAGATTGTTTACGTCTAGCTAGTTGAAGTACATTATTTTCAGGATTCATGAATTCATAAACCGACGTTGATTCTTAATACATGTAAAATGATTCTTAATACATGTACGCATATTAAATTTGAATAAAATATCTTTAAACTTTTTCCAAATTTCCGGAATTTTCATATTTTTTTCAAAACTTTAACACCCTGTATATATAAGAAATAATTGTGCGTAAATAATTTTATATGTATATACAATAGTATTGATTATAAAATACTTCTAAAAACGCGTTTATAACATATTTCTTAATGTGTTTGTAAAATAATTTATTTATAGATTTGATCCAAATACAGGCCACTATACCCAAGTGGTCTGGGCTGACACAAAAAAAGTCGGTTGCGGACAAATAAGCTATAAATCCAATGGCTGGAATACGAAATACGTAGTTTGCAATTATGGTCCAAGTGGAAATTGGATCGGTCAGAAAATATATGAAGTTAAAAAATAAATTCGATCAAAAGATTAAAGATGTAATATAAAAAGTAATGGCACGAAAGAAAATGGAAAAGCAAATAAGAGTTGCAAATATGTCTTGTCAGTAGAAACAGACAGTTGCAATTGTTATGTAATGATATTAACAGAAGGCGAAATAACGTTTTCTTCTTTCTTTCCCTTTCTTCCTTTCTTTCTCTTTAATCATCTACTGTTAAATATCAAGTTTTCTTGCAAGCTTTTCTTCTTAAATATAACTTTTTAACGCAAGACAAAAAATAATAACATATGTAATTTTTGTTGTTTTAATATATATCGAAATAAAGATGTGCAATAAATAAAATGATGCAAATTTTTTTACCTTTAACCCTTAAATGCCACACCTCTCAAGAATCTCGTAAATAACATGAGAGGTCTAAAAGACCCCAGCATGAAAAATGTCTCCGTACTCATTGATTTTTTTATCTTTAGTTATGAAAATTTTTTTCAATGTTGTTCAAGGCTTAGAAAAGAGAATAAAATGCTATTGTTAAAATTTCAATTTCAACATAGTATAAAAAATTAAGTAAACTGAGTACTGCTAAGTGTACAAACGGGTAGGTCAATCACTCAACTATCATTAATGGGAGCATGAGCTCCATTTTTGGCAATAACATTTGAAAATATATCATTGTAAAGGGTTTGAGGTCCGCTGGACCCCGGGTGGCATTTAAGGGTTAAGTAAGTTTTAATTACTTACATTTGTTGAAAACCATCGCTTTTTAATACTAATCTTATATATTTTTTTAGGCTTTAAAAGATTAAAGTAAGGTAATTAAAAAAAGAACATTTTATAAAATGTTTTATATTTTATGTCAAAATATATCAAAGTAAATCTTCTTTTTGTTTAATATCTTTTCCTAAAAGAGCGTATCTTTCACACGGAAAAAATGATTAGCTATTGTAGCAAATTTAGAGACACCTAACTTCTTTTTGCAGCGAGAGCTGTAATTTAGCAATAGTAGCAAAATCTTTTGTTTTTGCTGCAAAAAAATGTTTGGTATTCTTATTTTGCAACTAAATTTCCAATAGTAGCTAATCTTTTTTTTCGAAATTGATTTTCAAAGTATTGATTTTAGTATTTTAGTAATTATTAATAAAATATTTTAAACGTTAATTAAAGAGAAGAACTGTTTATAATTTTTTTTAAATTTATTATAAAATAATATGTCAATTTTGTGCAATATATGCTGACGATGACGATATTAGTTCAAAAATGAAAGCTATGAAAAGATTAACACACGTTTGTTTCTATCACAAACAATCACAAAGTAAACTAGTAAAAAGAAATACAAAGAATACGAAATTGTATTAAATGTAAATAATATTAAAGACAATATCATATAATATTGTTGAACGATAACGCTTAGCATATGAATTATAATTTTTATTTCTATTTAAAGAAAAATTTGTTACATGTTAGTTTCAAGCTTTAGCTTAACAGCTATTCATAGAGTAAAAAAGTTCAAATAAAAAAAAACATAGCAAAAATTTTTAATGTAAATATTATTTTTTACTATAATAGGTAAAAAATTTGTTGATACATTTGTGACACACTATTGCAATCTAGAATTGTGTAAAAGTATCAGAGAAGCTTATACAATGTACAAGTACACTGTAAATAGAATAATTATGTATACTTATGGATTATGTAGATTTCTTTTTTCTTCCTAATTTAATAAAAATCTATAATGTGTAAATATATCATATCTGAAAACCTTTGTTTTCCTAAAAAATATCGACAGTAAAATATTTATTACAGATTTTATTTATGCGTAGTTAATTCTAAGATGTCATATCACAATCATTAGAACTAGCAATTAACACGTTGCACAGAAATGGAGTAATAAAGGTCATATAATTAACCTGAACAAATAAATATCTCAATTATTATACTAATATTATGCCAATTAATATGCTTTTTAATAAATTAATATTAATTAAAATTAATGTGAATTTTAATATATGTATATTATTTAAATTGTTATACATGTATTATTATAAAAATATAATTTATATAAATATATTATAAATAAATTTTATAGAATTATTATATATTTTTTATATACAAATTTAAATGATAAAATAGTTTTATTAACATTTTTTTATATCTATAGCTTAGTTATGTTTTGTATATATAAATATGATAATAATCTATAAAATTAATAATAATCTTTAAAAAATTATTGTCCTAAGATGTAAGAAATGATAATGTTACAAGAAATATAGACATAGTAATCATTATTTTATTTTTTTCGCTAAAAAAATATACGGAATTATAAAAATTTACTTAATAAACATTTGAAATATGAAAAGGAAAAGCGGAAAATACATACCTTTTGCCGAAAAAATTTATAATATAAACTAACGTTATACAAATTTTTTACTCAAAATAAACGAGAAATTTTGTGTAAAAAGTTAATACATATTGAATTCGTAATACATTCTTCCTTTTGTGTTGTGTCACACACATATATGCAAGGTAAGTAATTACTTGTCATTATTAACGTCCATTTCGTTTTTCTTTCGTTTATATGAGTCAGGGCTGCTCGTTGATAAATTTTTATCGTTCTTGGAATCTGTAACATTGCTGTCCATTGATCTTAAAGTGATGGTATCTTACCTAGGCAAATTGTGTAAAATGCAAGGATGAACATATAATAAAGTTATCACATTTTAACGATAACTTTTAGGGTAGCTATTTTCAACATTTTTATGTAAAAGCTTAAGTACCAAATTGCAAAAATTCCGAAGAGGTTACTACTGGTTTGTTCATATTTCTATAATATTTCTCTTAAGTATGGCATCTTTTCTCAACTTATCCTACTTTTTACCAAAAAATGTATGACATAAAGTATAAAGTTATATAAATTGTTTACACAAAATAAACGGGAAATTTTGTGTAAAAGTCAATACATATTGAATTTGTAACATATTTTTCCTTTTAGTGTTGTGTCATATGCAAGGTGTGAATCATTAGCGTCTTTAATGTTTGTTTCGTTTTTCTTTCGTTTATATGAGTTGGTACTGATGGTTGACAAATTTCTATCAAAATTTAAAATGGTCGTTATTATGTACCCGTATGTGGGATAATTAATCCTCCAGTGGGCGCGTGTATTTTACACCCTAAGCTTCCTTTTTTTTAAATGAGTATTCTGGATTTATTTTAATGCCGATTATTTTCGAAAAAAACATTAAAATTAAAAGTTTCAACCTATTAATATACTTCAAGATATGTACAACAATAAACAATAAACAATATTAAACAGAAAACAAAAAATATTAATTAATTTACACCTTATAGGTCATTTTACGGTTCAAATTTGTACACCTACTGGAGGGTTAACCAAGAAAAAATTAGTCAAAATTTGAAAAGTCAATTATCGTTATAAAACTATAAAAACAAATTATTATTTTTAGATTTAATAGTCATCAAATGTCATTAATGTATAATCCTATTTTAATATTATAGTAATTTGTTTAAGTTATATGTATATTGAGATAATTTCTCATTATTATTGTGAGGAGTAGGAGAAACATAATGCCGTGTATAATAAATTGCATAATATTAAAAGCAAATCGAATAATTACCCATCAACGACGTTTCCTTGTCTTTTTTTTTTTGTTTGTTTAGATGATACTTACAGTTCCTCGTATGGAGGTAATGTCCAACTCTGTGAATCTGACATACGGGCATTGAAATCCGTAAGAGAGATCGTTGATTCTGAAGTACTTAGGACATTTCTATATACGGCACAATTAAAAACAACTAGGATATGCAACAGACGTTTAAATTGTAATAACATTTGGTATGTCTTAATAATGTACATTACTAAACTGTTAAACAAAAATATTATTTTTATGGTGTAATTAAAAAGCATGCAGAAAAGATAGAGTAATTATCTAAAATATTTTAGTTATAAAAATATCCTTGTGAGAAAGGATCAAAATTAACTACTAGGATATATTATAGTGTATGATATAAACTATAAATAAAACAAATAATTACTCATCAAGTTTCGTTCTTTTTCTCGCTTGTTCAGATAATTGACCGGGTAAGTCAGGTCGTTCTTGACTTTGACGTTCTGCAGAGGGATCCATATCATAACTCGTTGAACTTGAAGTGCTTTCTCTGCATTAAAATGTGGTATAATTAAAAAAAAAATTATATAAAATATTACCGTTGTAAATTATTCTTGTGCAGAAAAGTTTATATTTAAATAGAAAAATTTAAATAGTAACAATGTCATTATACAGTCGAATCTCGCTAACTCGAATGTCAAGGGAACAGAAAATAATTCGAGTTATCGAATATTTTGAGTTATAGAGGTGTGAAAAAAAATTCGACCAGGTTTTGAAATTATACTTAAATAACTCAGTTACCGTAAAAAACAACAAAATAACAAAAATATTTTAATAACTCTAATAACTTTTAAAGAAGTAATCTTATATTTATTTATAGAGATGCATATATATATAGACATTTAACAGCCGCAATCACTTTAAGCTTTTCCGATAAAGTTAACGATTTTAATTTTCTGTCTGAACTCATTTCCGAGCTTGTACTTATGAATCTAAAATAACAATAACAATAACAATAAATATAAAAAAAGTATAAAATAATTTAAGTTATATAAAGTAATAAAATATAGTCAATTAAAATTCTTACGTGTTAAGAAGCACGTTTGAATATCTCGACGAGTAACTATGACTATATGTTGAATAAAGTAAAGTCAGCAACAGTAAAAAGTCATTAAAGAAGTCATACTAGATAAACAATAATGTCAAAACAAATAAACTGAGACCAAAAACTTACTTCTTATTATTTTGTCATATATTGCATTTACAATTTTGTCAGTTCTTAGAACGTAAGCGTTTTTCATTGCCCCAACCTAGGAACTCTCTCTAAATATAAAGAGCTGGGCAAGCAGCAATATACTCTCGATGGGTTGCCATCCCCATGACATCCGAGAGGTGGCGATCGAAATCTGACAAAACCGTCTTGGTTCTAACCGGATTTGAACTCGGTTCTCCGGCTCACTAGACCAGCGCACATATCTCTGCGCCACAAGCGCCACATTTAAAATTTTGTTAGTTGTTTTAGCGAATAGACAAAACAAAGAAGAAAGAAAGAGAAAGAAGCTGATGCAAAATCTTTTTACTTTGAGTTATAAAGGTTTTATCGAAATTCGAGATACATCAATTTATAATATTAACCTCTATATCTTGAAACAATTCGAGTTATTATAGAGGTAAACTAAGGTA